TTGACGATAACGCCGGACGCGGTAACGACTTCGTATGACGCGACATTGTCGCAGGCAAGACCGTGTTCGTTTGTCAAGTCGCTGATGCCCCCACCTAGAGTCAGACCACCAACACCGACGTGTGCGGCCTAGAAGATGTAAGCGCACTTCATGGAGAGTAGCTTGGCGTCCAAATTGAACGTACTCGGCCACCGACTATCGTCAAGTTGTACGGCGTGAGATACCGGTATGCATCTATCCACCGGTTACCTGGCCCAATAGCAACAGTCTTCTGGTCCGCAGACAGCTTGCGCACGGTGAAGTCCTTCAAGTCAACCATGATACCTCCATGGATACTGGAAGCACCGGGAAACGCGGCATGCCCACCACTCTTTACCGCAAAGGGGCACTGGGTAAGGCGAGATATCAATACCAAGGATGACACTTCAAGAGTGGCCTTGGGAGTAAAGGTGCAATACGGCACAACGGCGGCTTGTTGGTTTGACCAGTATTCGGCATTCTGTCCACGGACAGTCTTGTCTTTACCGAAGACGACTTCGAGCGAGCCACACTGTCGCGGTAATTAGCTCATGCTGCAGAGAGGCACAGCGCAATAACTTACTGCAACGGAGCAGCCGCTTGAAGACGATCGGGTGGCCAAGCCCGCCAATTCAGGCATTGCGGAAACATTGACCCCGTTCTGGATGAGGGCTTTGGTTACATTGAAATCAGGTGCTTCGAATGCGTCTTGAGCCGACACCCTCACGGTGGCTGCAACGGTGCCACATGCTATCGTCGCGATGAGTTTCATGGCCAAGAGATAGGTGGAAAGACTGAGGTGGGATCAAGGACGAGGTTAGCTGGCCCTTTTACGGTCGATATTGACCGCAAATGTACGCTCATGTGCGAGTGAGTAGGCAAAACATCCGCATGCACTGATATTGGACGAACGGCTCCAATGCGAGCTTCCGGTCGTGCATTAGTACGCGTTGAATGAGGTCTCGATCCTACTCATAGGATTGCTTCCCCGGTTCTGGTAGTTTGATAGCCGCTGGCCACGTTCACAGCTACCGCGCGATGACGAAGGTACATCGGTGCCTCCCGCGCGATGAACTACGCTTCTGAAGCATAATGGCGATGGAAGTCCTGTGGAGTAGCCATAAGGAACCATGCAAGTCGAACCGGTGATTGATGTAGAGATGAGTTGAGTGGGGCGCGCGAGCAGACACGGCAGGTGCGACCTCGGATGGGCGCGTCGGCTGAGGCCCGTGCCGCTTTGCCAAGGTGGCCCCGTCCTCGCGCGCATCATTGCAGTTCTCACCCTCCAGGGCTCGATCAAAACATCACTCTTCACGAAGCGCCCGCAAGATACTGGACTGTATGACAAGCATCCGTATCTACAGGGTAGAATAGCAAAGCACATACGGCAGGTCACGGGTCGGGGCTTCGCGCGCACGCGACGGCACTATGCTAGGAATCCTTACCTTCGCGGATGCATTCTTCCGCGGCACCCGCATGTCACATTGTCACGTCTGGACTATGGCTCTGCAATTCCATTGCACATACCGCTCTGGTTGCAGTACTCCCAAAGCTAACAGTACAGCATCCAAAGAGAGTTCTGCAACATTTTTGCATACCTTCAGGATTGCCAACAGCCGATTACTACATCTCTCTGGACATCAGGGACTCACAGCCCTAGCATCTTGCCGTAACGATGCTACTTGTTGGGGAGCCAAGATCATTTTCACCAGAAATGACGAACAGAATGCTTCGTGGTACGGCATATCCAGTAGAGCGCCTTTGATGGACGCGGGCGGTACGGAGCGTTTGTCGACCAATCTTAACAGCAGCACCGACAAGATGTTATCTGGATCACTAATCACATGTCGGAACTTTCGGCCATCAATTGATCTAGCTGCTGCAAGCATACCTAGAGTTGGACACCAAGAAGCCGTACCCAACGTATGAAGATACAGGATCGATCTAGTGTACGAGCAAAATCCACAGCGTGGACGTCGCGTATATGCGTCATAGACATCAGCAACACACGTTAAGATCCAGATCAACATATTCCATCAAATGCCTTCTTTTCGCAGGATGGCGCTACATAGATCAGGCTTACGATGGCCAGAAGTCCAATCTGTACACCTGCTAGCCGAAGGTTCATGTAAAATAAGGCATAAAACGTCGCTTAGCTATCTATATGCACTCTGCCGGGCGTAACAGGGACGCAACATGAACAGCCACACGTAAAGCTTGAACTTCCACAAGTTTGTCGCAGGATGCCGGTTTACTGTGCAATAAGTATGCGACGGCAATGTTCGCGGCTGGATAGGGAGAGTGATGTACATCGACAGCAGGGCGTACAGCGAGATAAGGCATGTAAGCAAGTTGTGACGAAAATGGTACCGTACCACTCGTTCATCTTCCCGCTGAACGTGGGATGCACGAGCAGTGCTGATTTTGGCATGCGAGGGAATAGCAAGCTGTATCCATTCCTGGAGCGACAAGATATGTTAGCGTTCGCTAGGATGTGCTATAAAAGACGGACGGGGAAGCCATGAGGGGAATACACACAGCAACACACTTTCGGTGAATACCAAGCATCGACTTCTTTACCCTACTCAATTTGCGTACACCATGTCTGCCATGGAGGGGACGTCGTCAGACATGGGTGAGAGCACGGATGTCTCCACGCCCATCGACAAACATCCCACATCCAAATTCTTCGCAAGCCCATCGAGGGCCGCAAAGAAGATCCCGTACCATGCCCACACCTTGGTCCTCTTCACGTGCGACAATCTAAAAGACGTGGTACTCCCCCCCGCAGTTTTCGGCGTGCTCGCCACTCTTTCTGGCCCAGCATTGGATTTACCATCCCAAGACGGTCTCGCGGTGTTGCGAAGAGTACCAACAACGTTGACGTGGCTTTGGCTGATGCTGTTGCCATGCTGCCTTCAAAACCAGCGTCATGAATCCTCAGTCCAAGAAGACGCAATCAACAAGCCCTGGCGTCCAATCCCAACAGGAAGGATCAACACAGCGCAGACTACAAACCTGATGATTGCTGCGTACCTGGCACTTGCACTTGTCAGTTACCAGTTCAACGTAGTGCCAATCTATGTCGCATGGGTTGTCTTCAACACCTTGTACCACGATATGGGCGGAAGCGACTACAGCGGCATCTCGCGCAATGCCATCTGTGCTCTTGGCCTCGTCTGCCCTTTCAGCGGCGCTCTAAGCATCGCCCTCGGCCCGGATGCTACGATGAGCTACGCAGCATGGCAATGGATCTTTCTGGTCACACTTGGTATCATCGGCACAACGATTCATGCCCAAGACTTTCGCGACGAAGCCGGCGATCGAGCCCGTGGCCGGCGTACCATTCCGATTGAGTTGGGTAGAAGACGTGCGCTGTGGACTGTTGTGGTGGCCGTCGTTTTCTGGACATTTTATGCCCCGCTGGTCTTCTTGGGTGCTCGCTGGGAGGCGGCGGTGGTTTCTGTCTGTCTTGGTGGGCTTTTGGTGGGTACGGCTATGCGAGCGGTCGGTATACAGGATGGAAGGTTGGATCGACAGATGTACAAGCTGTGGTGTTTTTGGATGTGCTCTTTTGGCGGACTACCGCTCTTGGCTACTGTTTTCCCTCTGCGAACATAGTCAGGGTCTTGCCGGGCGCCGATACGAGGCATCCTCTACTTCGCACGTGCAACACCACCACCGAATGCAATGCTCATCAGAGCGTCGGTCTCGTCTCGAAGCTGTAGTGACGGATCGTCTCTTCATGTTTGCGAAATGCAGTGAATATGAACATCTGCATCGCCTCCAAAGGGCAGGCAGCTGTATCGCGGCAATCTCCAAAGCGAGGCGGGGAAGGGCCGAGTGACCTAAAGCGGCAACGTTATGCGGCTCCGCACCTCCAATCCACAATACCATCAGTATTGCGTGCGGTCGCACCACATATTGGGGCGGTTCTTTCTTGATCGGTTGCGCAGTCCCGTGAGGGGGTGATAGTCTCGATGTGGAACGCAGGACCCGTATATAGTGTGCGCCTAGGTACCTGAGTATCTGCGACTTTGTCACCCTTCAGATAAACTCAAACAACCACCTCTTGTTCCAAGTAAACCATCGATAAATTAGTGTTCATAATGCCGTCCATCCACCCCGCCATCGACAACGGTATCAAGAAGGGCGACCCCAACTTCTCCGGCGGCAAGCTCTACTGCCATTGCCCCACCAAGAAGGTCGAAGTTACCCTCGCTGGTAATGTCGCGCACAACCACGCCTGCGGCTGCTCGAAATGCTGGAAGCCAAAGAACGCGCTCTTCTCCGTCGTTGGCGTCATCTCTAAAGACAACGTCTCCGTCACTGCGAACGGCGACAAGCTGCACATCATCGACGAATCAGCGGCCATCCAGCGCAATGCCTGCAAGCAATGCGGCGTCCACCTCTTCGGTCGCATTGTCGTCGACCATCCATTCAAGGGCCTGGACTTCGTCCACGTTGAACTCAGTGACAAGAAGGGATGGCAAGAGCCGCAGTTCGCCGCCTTCGTCAGCAGCATCATCGAGCAGGGTTTCAATCCGAAGGAGATGGACGCCGTACGCGAGAAGTTCAGGAAGGAGGGTCTGCAGACATATGACGTGCTTAGCCCAGCGTTGATGGATCTCATCGCTACCTACACGGCGCAAAAGAGCGGGAAGCTGTCTTCGAAGTTGTAGGGTTGGGTTGCATGGTTCGGCGTTCCTGGTGTGGTCGGTGGGGATGATGTATTAGTAGATGACGAGGAAGACTTAGAGCGAGGCTTGGTCTCATAGATGTTCAAGAAAATCGTGCACCTAATAAATTTGCGAACGCGGGATGTCTGGTGTAATATTGCATGCGACTGAGCACCCTGATCGCGCGCTAAACCTCTCCATAGCACAAGACACGCATTGCCGATTATGGTCATAAAATCAGGTGAAGACAGTCTAAGTATTCAAGCTTTGAAATGGTAAAAACATTCATTAACTATGGGGTATTTACAAAGCCGCACACTCCTGCTGCGTAAGCGCATTCGCACTAATAAACTCCACCTTCGACTCCCCAACCTCTATATCAAACGTAGGATCAAGGCCCCTCTCACTCAGAACCGTCGTCGCAGTGTAATACACATACTCGGCAGTCTCCTTGCCCGCGGGGCTCATCTCGACAATCGTTGGTGTAAGACGAGGAATAACAAGGCCCTGGACCTTGGTCTTCTTCGACACGTTGAGCTGTGGTGTAGCACCGCTCTGGAGGAGGGCCTTGGAAACGGCTGCGGTGATGGTCATCTTCCACTCTCCTGTTGTGGTGTCCTTGGCTGTGCATGACTGCGCTTCTTGGTAGAGGACGTCGGGGTTGATGGGGTAGCTGCCTGTGCCGCCGTTGTCGTAAGTTTCGTCGTTGACGCGGATCGTGAAGGCGTCGAAGGCATCGGTGGCGTTGAGTGTCTGGATGAATTCGAACCACTGGAATCTCTCGTCTAGGTATCCAGAGGACGTTCCTAACTTGTAGGTAGCGCGGTTAGCGACGATCTCGGCGGGCGTGCTGCCGTTGCGCGAGACTGGGATGAGAGAAGCTGTGAGTGTGTTGCCGTCGCGGCCGGTGACTGGTGTGGTTCGGACACGAAGACGTCCTGTTAACTCGACTGCTCCGTCCTTGAGTTGGTATGATGTGATGTAAGGGCGGATGTCCGCTGGCTCCATGGGCTCCGTTAGTGTGACATCTCCGGGCACGAGGTGAATCAGTTTCTCGAATGCAGCTTCACACTGCGACTTGAAGTAGGCCTTGTCTGCAAGCTTGCGCATAGTCGCGTTGTCGTCGGCAAGGAAGATGCGCTTGTCGGAGTTCAAAGTGTTGTTGGCGTTGACGACCAATGGGTTCGCTGTCGAGTTGTTGAGGTACTCCGTTACCACAGCGTTATCCATCTCTCCGCTGGTAGTATCGAAAGTCGCCTTGTTCTCGGCGGTGACGGGACCGGAGACGATCTCCGGGTGATCGACTGAGTGAACACCTCCAATGCTGTGACCACACGCAATCAAAGTGATCATCTCCTTCTCCGTCAAACTGGCAGTTTCAAATCTCTTCCTTGTGGTGTCAAGGTCGGTGTGCGCTTCCGGTACGCCTTTGATGCCAGCTTCTGCCGCGTCTTTGCGGCCCAGTCGTAGAGGCACGCGCATGTCAGCGCAACGAGCCACAGACATGACCAATGACAAAGCCAAAACGTCGGCTGCGGAGCTCCGGATGTTGACTGAACTGGCCATATCAGATAGGGTGTTGTTCAACGCGGCACCAAGATTTTCTGGTCTGTCGAGTTCGTATTGAATCGAGGCGTCCAAGCCGCCGATCCCCGTTGAGGCATCGTGGGTGACGGCGTCGTGGAAGTTCGTTCGCACCCATTCCGCGGCCTTTTGGATGCCTGGTTGGCGAGCGCCGAATGAGCAGGTCTGGACCTCTGCTGTTGTGTAAGTCTTAAGCGGGATGTACTGAGGGAAACAGGTACGTACGATCTGAGAGTTCTCCGTTCCTGATGTACCCAGATTGCAGATACAGTAGGTCGTCGAGCTGGTCGTACTTGCTGGGCCAGACGTAGGCTTGACAACTCGGGGCAAGCAGCGCGAGGCTGATTAGTTGGTTTCTCCTCATGATTAATGTGTTTGGATGTTCTAACGAAGGACTAAACGAATGTCGAATGATGATGGTGAAGACCGTTGCGCGTAGAAGCGGTATATAAGGCCTCTAGAATGCGCAATGCTATTAAAGGGTATCGGTACGGGGCTTCTTAAACGGCGCATGATCAATGCGCATACGGGAAAGGCTGCCATAGTGCCCGTTGCAGCGACTAAGTTCGTGTTCAGGATACGATGTAGGATGGAGCATGGAAGGTGTGGGGTTGCGGTTACTCTCACCGAAGAGCTAAGGACATCTTCGTCTAGAAAACGATCTTAGACCGATTGTCATCTAATTTTGGCATCACGAACCCCATGCATGATTGGTTTTTTCTTGTAGCCAATTGGTCCTGAAAATCTCCGGGTCGTGCACGCGACAAGCGGTGGTCTGGGTTCGCCTTCTCTCGGCGGAATTGCCGACGGACAGGTACCCAGTAATTTGGCGGAGCTGTCTACGAGTAGACACAGAGCAATCTGTTCAACACCACAACGACGACTGGACGGCGTGGGTGTTCATTGTTGTTCCTTTTCAGTATGTTTGCGACTACGCAAGAATGATCCATCGTGTATTTTGCGATGAAGGTCGTTGAATGGGGTACCGCGCGCGCCTGACTTCCGGAAAGGGGCAACATCCTCAACCGAGGCATGATGGCCAGCAAGGCTATGCATGCGACGTCCCCATTGTTCTCTGCTTTTGCTTATCGTACGAGGAGCGCACTAGTCCGACGTTTTTGGCGAAGACTGTTCGGCGGATATCAGCGTGCATGTGCATTGTTGTTCCTTCCATGTTTGACAGCTTCTGGCAGGTGCGACAACTGACAGCTGAAGCCTGGCATTATGATCCCGTGTATTCGGAAGCACTGGAGTGATAGTGATTCGAAAAGAAGAACTGTCGCTGGTTTGCTAGTCGCCTGCAACGGTAAAAGGATGCCGGTGGTTGAACTCAAGGCACAAGGTTTGATTGAAGCTGGTGGTAGCTCTGAGCGGAAAAACGCCAGGGTTTGGCTTGGCGGAGTAAGCTGAGTAAGCAAATCTCTCCCTCCTCCTCCAGGTCTGTCATCTGCCCATAATGAAGAGACAAGAATGATTGAATAATCGAAACATTGCTATATGTCTGTATTCATTCACAGTCGATTATTTCAACTTCCACTCGATTCCGACGCCTCGTTCTTGCATTGAAGGTGTGAAGCGTGCAAAGAGCTCGCCTGACAGCAAGCCAGATTGGACATCGATGGAACATTCATGATTCACTGTTTAGAGACAAACATCAAACAAGCTTTTCACATATGTACAAGCTATCCGTACAAATGATGTACATCGTCCGACCTGACGTCTCCCCACCAAATCGGACGGGTGTGGAACTCAGCCACCGCTCCTTACAAGATTTACCTTGAGTATATCATATATATTGACCATCAACTGCTACACTGATCACCCGGGACGAATACATGGCATCAGGTACGCAGTATATACCAAGTCCTTCCAGAATAGCGTAAATCGCACGACATCCATTCCCGCGATGCATCTAGGCTATCGCTTTCACCGGTGCGAGCGCGAGGTAAACCGCAGGCGTTTCGATTCGGGTGAAAGTCGAGATGTGAGCTTCTGTGTGGTCACTCCTCATTCGTACCGATGGATGGCGACCTTGTTCAGTCACACATCTCTCCCCGACACGATATAATCCCGCGAGCTCCTATATGATCACAGTCTCTCCACACCAACCGGCGACTCTCTACGACCCAAGCAAGGTATTGCAACCGCAACCAAGACCATCGCAAGACCCTCTCTATCGACATAAACCATGCAGATACCATCCGACGCGCAACGTTCACGGTCTCCGACCCCCGAACCAGTCATCAACGAGGTGATCAACGAGATCTGCAGTCGTTGGAATATACAAGACGTGCAACAAGCACTTCCACATGGCCTCAGCTATAGACACACAGCTGACATCGAGATATGGGGCGAGGAATTCCTGGTACTCCTTCTGGATCTAGCAACGCTTACGGAAGGGAAGCTGGACGAAGTACAGGGAAGGATCCAGAAGCGTATTGATCAAGGACGGAACACAAAGCTCAGTCGCGACACTTGCACTACGCGAGAGGATATACTGGCGCTGATCAAGCTTTATGTGAAGAAGTCCCGTGGAAAGGAAACCGAACAGGACGACACTGACGAAGTTTACATGCCTCCGGTACCGAAGAAAGAACGTCGTTACAATGTTTAGGCCCAGAAGCGAGCCCAATTGGACTGGCATCCTTACCTGTCATGTTGGCTTCGGTCGTTTGGTTGTCATAATTTTCGAGCAGGCGATGGTACGGAATGAGCGTAAGAAAGGCATACTGATGTTTGAAAGATAAAGAGAAGACTGAGATACCCAATAAAGAAAAAAACTGGAAAGCAATGTACTCCTGCCAAGTGATCCTGCAACGTGGCTTGAAGTGACCCAAACTCTGTCCTTAACAAACCAGTAGAGTATCGATATTTGCTTGATTTTGTGTGTCGGCTAGAAAGCAGCACTCCATCAATCGTATTGATGTCATCGCTGTACATAGGAGTGAGGTGAGGCAACCTCCGTAGATTCCCGCTTGACAAGCGTCAGGGTGCCCAGCATGTGTGCCTGTCTATGAGTGATCTGGGAGTATGAAGTTGGATCAGCACGCTGGAGAGTTGTCCGGGACACATAAGTCGCCTGAACGTAAGCTCTGTGACATCGGCTCGTTGTTGCGTGCGCGGAAACGGGTTGCGCGGTCGCCGGACCAAACGCGGTGCGTACCAAGATGCGATCCTCCTAAGTCGATAAGGGCAAAGGTTGGAAAAGTCGAGGTGCAGATGTGGGGTAGTTTTGGAGATCGTGAGCTAGCAGCGCCAAGGACCTCGGCTCAGATCCTCAGAGCCAGCCGCCCCTCAACAATCACAGGCAAGCGGCACACCATCGTCATCGCGTTATAAGCTTCTAGTCCCGCAATGGAGCTCTCTTCATCTCTGTCGACACTGCCACGAGCGCAATGGTGGACCTCACGCAACATCCCGTAAAGGCCATCTATGGGCTCGGCGCCCTGGGCTTCGAGCTCGTGCGCTTCCCTATCATCCTCATCAAGTTCCTCGTTCTCGGTCGCCAGCATCCTAGCTGGACTCTTCGACAGGCTATCACCGTGCATGCCTTCTTCTCTGGTCTATGGCACGTGTCAAAGGTGCAGATTGCCACGCCGCTGCCCCTGACACCGGAACAAGAGAAGGAGCGCTTTGTGGTCATTAAGCCAGCGAAGAATGATGCATACAAGGGGCCATTGAGGAGCAATAAGGATATTGTGCCTGTGGAGATTGGGGCGACGTGGTTTCCTGCGCCGTTGACCACGGGCAGCGATAAGAACACCAAAGTGGTTCTCCATATCCACGGCGGAGCTTTCGTCACGGGTGAGCATACCGTTTCCACTATCCAGGCGCGTCCAAAATTAACAATTTTCTAGGGGATGGACGAACAGCAGCCAGCGGACCCATGGCAAAGAAACTCCTCAAACACACACCAGCCACGCACGTCTTCTGCCCGCAATACCGCCTCTCGACCCTGCCCGTCTCGAAGACGTCGAGCCCGTTCCCTGCCGCCCTCCAAGACAGTCTGACATCATACCTATACCTGCTGAACGACCTCAAGATCTCCCCAAAGAACATCATTCTGTCCGGAGACTCAGCAGGCGGCAACCTCGCCATCGCGCTCCTCCGCTACATCACCGACTACGGCTCCGAACTCGGTCTACCCGCCCCCTCCTCCGCGCTCCTCTGGTCACCGTGGACCAACCCCGCCGACACCTCCGGCTCCTACGTCCACGACAACCGAAACTACGCTACAGACTACATCTCCCCGCCCTTCACGGCATGGGGCACAACCGCGTATGCGGGCGAGGGCGGAGAAAAGGTCCTGTCGCAGCCTTATGTCTCGCAGAAGAACCGGACGTTTAAGACTGAGGTGCCCATGTTTGTGAACACGGGCAGCGGAGAGGTGCTATACTTTGATATCGTGGAGTGGGCGGAGAAGATGAAGGAGGCGGGTAATGATCTTCAATTGGATATTGAGGAGAATGCCCCTCATGATATCCTTCTTCTTGGTCACCTCCTAGGGTTCAACCAGGAGGCTGTGAATATGGCTAAGCGGGCGGGCGAGTGGTTGAGGGGAAGGGTATGAGAAGCAGGGACTATCATACCCCACGGGGATTGCGAGCGGCTCCTCGGATGTACATCCTCTCATACAGTTCATCTAGCTCATGCCTTGTATCATTGGCCAATAATTATCTTTGGGATTCCCTGTTGTCGGCCCAGATGCTGTGCCGCCTTGTCATTACTATTTGCGGGGTGCCTTGCCGTTGTGGTGGCAGGCACACCTGGGCGTCAAGCACCAGCGCTAATGAGCTCTCCAATCGTCACCAGCCAAAATTGCCCCGCTTCACCGGAACGACGCATGAAAGCATCTATCTGCATTTCCAGCCTGCACGCTGCATGTCGGAAGTCCATCGCCGCCCCCTTATCGAATCATGAGTTGCCACAAGATAACACAGCCCCAGCCTGATCATGGCGGAGCCTGGACCGACTGAGCAGGTCCACCACTTCGATCTATGAAGCCAAAGATGGCAGCGTCTCGCTCGGCCACGCCTCTGCGATCCATTCGAAAAATTCTGTATCAGGATGGCAGAAGGTCTGGCTGCCATTGGTCTTGCCGGAAACATCATCCAATTCATCTCTTTCAGCTTTGTTCTCGTGTCGAAGACCAGGGAATTGCATGAGTCCACATCGGGCTTATTGAATGAGAATATCGACCTCAAAATCATCTCCCAGGATATTAGTGCCTTAAGTAATGGTATAACTTCAAGCGCACGCTCGTCCAGACGACTATCCGAGATCGCTCATCATTGCGACACTATTGCGAGAGAACTTCTGGACGCGATTAACAGACTTAACAAGCAGCATGTGCCAGGATCTGGCAAAGTACCAACAAAATGGCAGAGCTTTCGCAAAGCTCTCAAGAGTGTGTGGGGAAAAGCGCACATTGAAGAGTTGACGTTGAGGCTGGCACGGCTCAGAGACCAGGTAAACATGCATCTGGTTTCTAACACGAAGTATTAGCCCTCGCCACTATTCAAGACGATATTTACTAATCACACTCCTAGTGACAATCAATTTCAACTGAAGCAATTGTTGGAAGATTGGAAGGACAAGAATATGCAGGCAGAGTACGAAATCACCGCACAGATTCAGGCCCTCGATCGTCAGCTCCAAGCTACTCAGGCACGCGTTCTAAATCTACAGGGCGATGCCTACTGGAAGAGGCTGCAGAATTGCTTTTCTCAGCTATCTTCGGAGATTCATCAAGTGTCTCAGTCTCATGCGATCATTGCTAGCCTCCGCTACGAGTGCATGCATACGAGACAGAGTGCGATTAGAGATGCTCACAAAAAGACTTTTTCCTGGCTTTACAGCCATGATGACCTAGACAGCCTCGATGATTTGGATGGTCTTGATAACGCGGATAGCCTGGATGCACAATCGGGGACCGGGTTCGCAGAATGGCTGCAAGATGGCAGTGGAATATACTGGATTACAGGAAAGCCAGGTGAGTTGTGGTCGAATATACCTTATGAGACACTAGTCTTACGCCACGCAAGGGTCCGGGAAGTCCACGTTGATGAAATATCTTTTCGAGCATGACGATACCGTCGACAATCTGCGAATTTGGTCCGGAGATGCACCGTTGGTAAGAGCATGCTTCTACTTTTGGCTACCAGGTCAGCAGATGCAAAACTCTCTGGAAGGACTTCTACAAACACTTCTATATCACATATTACACGCCTGCCCCGATTTGGTTCCAGAGCTTTGTCCTGGAAGATTGGCTGCTCAATACCATCCCGACCTTCATGGCATCGCTTCGCCAATCCCTTGGACCCTTCTGGAGTTGCAAAGGTCGATCGCTCTATTCAAGACACAGACTACAGTGCGCACCAAGTTCTACTTCCAGGTAGACGGCTTAGACGAGTATTATGGAGATAGTTGCGACGTGATCGAGACATTGCGGGACCTGTCCACTGCTCCAAATGTCAAACTCTGCCTTTCAAGTAGACCTTGGAATTGTTTCCAGGACTCGTTTGGACGATCAAATCCGCATGTGCTCCGAATACACGAATTTACCAGACCAGACATTGAGCTATTTGCGTGGGAAAATCTGCTATCCGACAGTCGCTACATTGACTTCGAACCGACACTGTTTAATGATCTGGTACGGGATATCGGCGAACGAGCACAAGGTGTTTTCCTTTGGGTACGTCTCGTGGTCAAATCGCTTCGTAACGGCATCATCAACCAGGATCCAGTGACCATATTACAAGAGCGCTTGCAAGCGACACCATCGGACTTGGAAGAGTTCTTCGAGCAGATTCTGGCGTCGGTGGATGCGATATATCGAAGCAGAATGGCTTGGACGTTCCTCGTCGCTATGCGGAGTCCGCGTCAACTGAAATTGATACACTACTACTTTCTGGAACAAGAAGACCCAACCTTCGGATTCGATAAGCCCGACGAGATATGGTCACACTCTGAGATACAAAGATGTGCAATGAAGACCGAGAGACGGCTCAACGGTCGGTTCAAAGGTCTTTTAGAGGCCACCCCCTCGGTGGACATCACCGCGCAGACAGAAGTCGACTTCTTGCACCGTACCTTGAGCGACTTCCTCGCGACAAATCGCATGAAGGACAAGCTCCAGTCTTGGGCGTCGGAGGAACTCAATGTTTTCACTGCCATAAGCATGGCTTTGATTGCAGAATCAAAATTCATCGAGGAGAACCCCACTTTCCAAAATTACAAGATGGCCGTGGAACTGGCCAGCAAAGGCGCTATCGAGACAGGCGACACAACGCATTGCTTTCAGGTCATAGATCAAGCAGAACTAGGGAACGAGGCCATGAGACCATGTCATACTTGGTGCAGACTCAACTGTGACATCCTTCGGTTCGCGGCCTCGCTCGGGCATGCCGAGTACCTGAATTACCGGATGCACAAGGATGGTGCGCTTCTGGGCCTTGATCATATTCTCAAACATGATGTAATGGCTTCAGTTGCGCCTGGCGAATCGTATGCCTTTTGTCTGCCCTCTATCTCATCACTCCATGGCATTTCCAGCCAGTCTGGTAAGAGATTCCCCGGACTCTCATCAAACACAAAAGCGAACGCTCCTCTACCGTCGTTAGTGACGGTTCTCTTTGGACTTGGAGCTAATCCGAATACCATCGTGGATGGCGTCACCAGTTGGACTGCATTCGCGGACAGAGCAGCGGAACTGATGGACGGCGAACACGAAGAGCAATATTGGGAAATCTTCGGCATGTTCCTTGAGCAGGGTGTTGATGTAAACATAACTACTGGCAGCTGGATTGGCATGCTAAATCGGGCAAACGCGAAATCGGAGAACAAGATGCGGAACTTATCCAGATATTTCAAGCGTCTCTTCAGCCATCGATTGTGCCCGAATGCTACGTCACAGAGCACCACAATCACTACCGCTTTTGTAAGGACGCTAGCAAAGCACACTTTTGATGTTTCTACCGCTTCGCAACCCATTCAACACGACCTCTTACGAGAATTCCTCCGCAATGGGGCGGATCTTTCCGTGATATATCGCGACACATCCTCTTCCGGATGGTTTGAGAATTTGCACCAGGCTTTAAGTTCTCCAAAGAGCCTCAGAGACTCGCTCTCTCCACGAGTCGCGCAATACCGTATCTTTCTTGAGAACGGTCTGGATCCAAACATGGCCATGCACAATGGTTGTACGTTCTGGGAGAATCTTCTCATTGCCATGTATAGTGGCTATGAGCTGAGTGGATACAACGCAGGATGCAACAATATCGTTCGCGATATTTGCCTTGTCTCTTTGCAGTATGGGGCTGATCCTCATGTCTCTGTCATTCAATCAATATTGCGGGGGATGAATAACATCTCAAACTTCTGCGCAGGATCTCATCGGGCCGATATCCAACGAGCGCTGCACAAGGAGATTGATGGTAGAGACTGCTACACCAAGTCGCAGATTTCTGCGCAATCGATAGATGGCGACCATCTGGGAATGAGTGACTTCATTCAGTCGACAGACTTATCTCCCTCTCCCCGGGATAAGAAGCGCCAGGTCAAGAAACGTGATCATGGACAGATGTCCCACGGCGGGCGGGGCTCGGATCTGAAACGTGTCCGGATTAGCTGGAACGCGGATATTGATCTAACTTGTCGTCTTCGATGAATCTGGCTGTGGTCGCCATGGTAGTGATGGCAAATAATCATGTGGAGTTCTTAGCATCGATAGGAGTGTAGTGGGTAGGATGCTGGTCTATCTTTGTAAATTATCCCTTGGTAATAAATTGCCAGCGCAGGTCTTCAGGCCGTCGCTGGAGTTCGTATCAGTTATTTGACTAGGGCTGTCCTCTCTGGTTCTAGTTCTGACATGACGTCACATCATTACCAGAACATCGACACGGCACAGCCTTGAGAAATGCCATCACATTCACAATTACTTTCTTCTACTCGGAGGTCTTTCGGTATCGTTGTCAGCTACATGATCACTCTCTTTAGCCTTACACATCTGTCTCTCGGCTATTCACCAGGCTTGCGTTGCACATACCACGAAGCGCGCGCTCACCATGTTAACTAAATCCACGCCTAGCAACGGCATATCCCTCCGGTTTGAGGCAGAAGAACTGGAACCCGACAACAAGTTCCAGTTGAACCGTAAACAACGTCGTGACCTCGGCCACCTCATAATTACAACTCCAGAGACAGAGCGCCCGATAACCCTGTTTTGTAATGGTCTTACCGTTATTGGAAGGGGGCGAAACACTGTCCTACAGGCATTAAGGTCTGGATTGTTTGAACTCGTGCATTCTAGCAAGGAAGATGCAGGTGTTATCATGCTGCCATATGTCACATCTCCTCGAAAAGGCCAGTACAACATACTCTCAACGTCATTCCCACAGCGTCGGGAAGTATCGATTAGTGTATTGACTGAAACAACGCATGTTGTGTGGAAAGAGATCTTGCAACCCGGCCATACATACGGTTTACGGCTGGCTGAGGAAGCTGGCGAAGTGTTCGCATGTTATGCGGATGAGCTCAATGGCAATCCCGAACGCCTCACATCAGCGCAGAAGCTGCCCGTTGATCGTGAAGATGGTGGCACATACTACTTCACCGTCCACGACGACCCGGCACCTCCAAAACTCTTTGCCAGGTTGGAGATGCCCAAAAAAGCTCATCTCAATGGTCCAGATCCCTTCACCTTCGTCATCGAATACACGACCGACAGTCACAAGCCCTTCGTCTTCGAAAAATCACGCTCCCCACTTTCGGTCACCAAGTTCTGCTCCGGAGACCTGCACTGTATCGACCAACTAATCGATTGTCAGGACAATGACACCGGGGAGAAGGTTGAATGGGGCGCCGTCTTCGTCTGCTGGGACGGTGATCCACATCCGAACTTTCCGCATGATAATGATTTCGTGGAGATCTCAGCGAACAGACCGTGGCGATTTGAATGCACATTGGAGAAGCTAGGTAACGAAAAGGAGTATGTGCGCAGTATGGAAGGGCTGAAGGCTGATCGTACGTATAAGGCTCGAGTTGGTGGGCCTTCGGGCTTTAGACGGTGGCAGTACGGAAAGAAAGAGGACTTGCTGGCTGGCACGCTAGAAGACAAGATGAAGAGGTGGGAGGTAGACATGGAGAAGTTCAGTCGCTTGGACGTGGAAAGAATCGAGGAGGACCTATATTTTGAGACTGTTGCATGAGTAAGCGGTCAGTATCCTTGCGACATGCGATGATTATGTGGAATGCTAAAGTTCGAACTGGAAATGATTTTCTACTTCAAAGCCTACGCCTTCAGACTATCAGCATACTCCCTATATATCTGCTCGCAACTCTCATCAAACAACAGCCCCATCCTCGTCGCATTCCCAAACTCCGCAGTTTGCGGCCAGCTATCCAACAACCTTTTCGCTTCCTCATCCACCTCCTCCCTCAACAAACTCAGCTTCTCCTTTCCAACCACCGCCTCGAACGCCGCGTACATGTCTCCAAGGGTGACACTGATACCTGGCATGTAGACCGCGCGAATATGCGCTGGCATAGCATCCGCAGGCGCCTTCATTACGCGCACAAAGTTCTCGATCATGACGCGTGGTGAGCAGATCATCTGGCGCGCTGAACGGTCGCTGATCGGGACGATGCATTCGAGTCCGGCGAGCGGCTCGCGGAGAAGGCCGCTTAGGAATGCTGCTGCTGATCGCGATGGCGCACCTGGACGGACGACGACGGTGGGTAGACGCACGGAGAAGGCATCGATGAGACCACGGCGGTTGAGATCATCGATGTGCTTCTCCATGATGGCCTTGTGCGTGCCGTAGACGCCTATTGGTGTCGCAGGGGTATCATCTGTGATAGGACCTGTGGCCGTATAAGGTGGTCCGTAAACGGCCTGGGTCGAAGCGTATACAATGCGGGGTTTGGTCGCTTGTTGGAGTTTTGAAATGGATGTGAGAACGGAGAGCGTGGCGTCTAGGTTGACTTTGGTGGAAAGCGCGGGGTTCTCTTCGCAGCCGACGGACATTATGCCGTGGAAGAGGAAAATGGCTGACCATTGTGGGCGCATGGAAAGGAGTTTGTCGATGTCTGATTGGGAGGTCAGATCTCCAGCTGTGAGCTCTAGGTTGAATGCCGAGTCTGGGATGCCAGCTGGCCTTTGGGGTGTGCGAAGGTCGGTTAGGACGATGTTGTTTGAAGAATCTTTTGCCAACTTGGCGGCCAGCATAGGGCCTAGGAAGCCGGCACCGCCGGTGATGAGGATGTTGTTCGACATTGTCGGTGTTTTGCTCTGTTAGACTCTCGGGTCAGGGCTACAACGGGTTTCTGACTCTGAAGCTCGGGATCTCGGAATGAAGGCAGTTCAATGCTGTGAAGAACTGAAGAGGAATTTGTTTGCAAGAGACAGAAGTGCGCAATGATAATGCGATGAAGATGCGGCCAACTGAGCATATATACGTGACAGTGTTGCGGGGATCGAGGCGAGTCATGCTCGTCTCGAGGCAGACCTGCTCGCTACGAGCCACAACTCAGATGCGCTAGCCCCAGAGCCTCCGGGAGCCGCATCTTTAGCCTGGGGAACCCCACATAGTGGTCTTTTACAACCGCTCAGCCATATACAAGCAGGATGCCGGCGGTTTAGAAGTGGCTCTGTGGATGACTGCTTGAAAAATCCCCACTGTGGTATGTTTTCGCCAGCTTTTTGCTCATGTGCCACTCATTAGCGGCGCTCTGCAGGGTTTGACGCGCCTGCGGAAGAACTCGTTGCGTGGGAGCTATACCCCTCTCGTTCCTTTGACTATGAAATAGGACCTATAGGTATGAACGTTGAGATGACTAACAACACGGACTACTCTGTCGCAGCAACATCAAGTCAATACAGCATATATTGCGCTCACGAGAAGAAGTCAATGACAAGCGCATTGAACATCTCCGACTTCTCCCAATAGCACCAATGGCCACCCCAGTCCACCGTCACTCCCTTCGCGAGTCCTTCCTTCTCGCCTCCATTCACAAGCTCGACCACTTTGAGCGGTCCCGCAGCTGGGAAACATCCACTTCGGCTACTTGCTACTACCAGCACCTTGGTTTCACTACCGCTCTCTGGTCCGAAAGCATGAGCGATAGGATGCCGCCAGTCGTTTGCCGTATGGTCAGCCATTAGCTTTCCATACCACCACCCATCGCCTTTCAGAGCCTCGGCCAGGAAGAACGCTTCGTCATCTTCCCACTGTGACGAATCCGACTGAGGGTCTCGGGGTCGCGGATGAGATCTGTAGCCCAAGCACGCTGCGATGGTACCAAGGTGCGCCTCCTTCGGGTTCGCAATCAGTGTCTTTTGCATCGCGTTCAGTGCTTCTAGATTGTTGCATCCCAGGTTTCCGAACTCAGGACCCCAATCCTCGAGATAGTTCTGCAGTGGCGCTTGGTCCACGAAAACCATGTGTGAGAACGCGCCAGTCGTGAACAGTTCGCTGTAGCTCCACAGGATAGCAGCACCTAGGCTCGTGCCTATGGCTTTGATGGTACCGTCGCGGAAACCGAAAAACTCGATTAAGTTCTTGAGATCCATTGCTAGGCGTGCCACATTGTAGCCGGCTTTTGGTTTACCGGAGTCGCCGTGGCCGCGCAAGTCGGGAATAATGACATGGTGAGCTTTTGCGAGTGCGGCAACATTGCGCTTGAAGACTGCACCTGAACCCGTGAAGCCGTGCAGCTAGCGACCAATGTCAGGCCTGGTGGCGGTACGCGCTCGAGGGCGGGGAGCTCACCAATATCAAGGGAGCGGCACCGGGAGAGCCATATGTCTCGTAGTGAAGATGGATACCATCGTTGGCTGTTATATCCGGCATTTTGCAAGGTCGATACAGCGTGTTGGGTCAATAAGACGGATGGTATGCATGAATCGTGGAAAGTCCTCGGACTGCTTAGTAAGCGCGGTCATGTCGCAATGAAGTTTAGCGTCCTAAAGGCTTGTCGCCGCACGTGCTGTTTTAGCTGGCCGGAGCACAAGGTAGTCGCAATCGAATAATAGCTCGGCAAGAGTTGTCAAGACTGCCTGGTCATTTTCAAAAGCGCAGATAGGTCGGTTACGTAGGTCATAGCCAGCTCCACGGAGAATCAAGCGGCCAAGTCCTGCTACCCAGCTCATAAAACCTTTCAATCAGCTCCGGCCCATGTCGATCCCGTCCGATACGTCGAAAAGCTTCTGCCATGAAGTCATCTGGCCTCCATACTTCCCCAACGGAATAGTAGAGCCGCCGCACGCTAGCATCATCTTCATTATCGTGCCCATCTTCTTCAATTCCAGGCGCATAGTACGATATCTCCCAGTAGCCTATGTCGTGGCCAAGCTCCGTTTCGAGCAGAAAATGTTCTAGGGCCGGCATCTGTTGGACCGCCTTTGCGAAAGCCGCGATCAACGGATCTAAGGTCTTTGCGTCTTCACGGTCGCGGAACTGCACGATATTGCCGCCCCACTGCTCCTCAATCTCACCTGGTGGTGTTCCGTCAAAGTACCACTCCCCAGACGGGGCGGCCATGTTGAAGAAGATTGTCAGCTTCCTGAGGGCCGGCCAGCTGAGCACAGAGCTTTTCTCAAGGCTTGAAGGCCAGAAAATAGTCGAGTCGACAAAGCCGTTCAGAACAAGGGAAGTCAGGTTCTGCGAAAAGCTACGCAGAGATACGCTGAACGGATCGTAGAGTGCGCCTATTGGTATGCGCGAAGGTTCTGCCACGCGTTGGTCCGCCGCAGGGTCTTGATTGAAGGTAATCTCAGCCGCAGAGCATTTGTCAAGCTTAGTCTGGTTGAGCATCCTCGCGAATAAGGCTCTGCTTTCCACGTTGATGGACGTGTCGTCTACCTCTCCAAACTCCCAGTAGAAACTCCGTAGGTTGGGTAGACATGCAGCTAGACCAGGTCCGACTACAGGGGCCAGCTTTCGGGAAATGTGGCCCGTAATGCGGAGATATACAATGCTCAAGAGCGTGGGTATTCTTTCCGGTCTGGAGAGATGGATGTAGGAGTTTACCCATCGTTTTTCGAAAATGTCTATCCCACGCTTGTGTTGTGCCATTTCAAGCGTGATCTGGTTCCGGTCACGATGATCGGTCGGGGAATATGCGCCGTGTAGCTGTAGTCGTAAACCACGTACTAGATCTGCATCTTCCCACTTTCTCACTAAGGAAAACAAGTCTGCGATGGCTTGGGTGAAGGCTTCGTCATTGCATTGTTGTTCTTCTATCGACTCAACACGTCCACAGCTCTCTTCTGAGTACTCTGGTAGTGTAATCTCGAAAGAGAGTCTCTTTAGGTATTGGGGACGATTGCCAGTCACCATGGCCTCGAGCTGACTCAGCTCATGGCTCTTGATAGACAAACGATGGAAAGTGACGTATTCCACAGCCTCTCTCCAGCGGCTAGAAATTGTCGCATATGGTGGGAGCTTAGACTGGTCCCCCTGCTGTTCAATTATCGGGGCCTGTGACTGACCGGGATAGCGCTCTAGACACAGGACAATTTTGTTGATGAGCTCCTGTGGTAAGATATTCATGACGCCGTTCAATGTCGCAATAAAAAACTCGACAGTAGGGGTGGGAAGGCTGATAGATGCATACGCGGATATGGAAAGTAGGAAAGATAGACTGTGTACCTGCGGTGGCGAGGTGTCTTTGAAACAATGCCAAGAGGCTAGTACCGGCACCGTGCACGATCGCGTTATCCGCGGTTCTCCAAGCACGCATCATAACAACACTCCAACGCGCACCCACACACATCGCGGTCTACATTTCGCGCACGTCCACCTCTCTTCGTAGTGACTGCTTGCTGATTCGTCTTCATGCTCTGACATGGCTCAGCGATGGCAATCGTGTCTCATCTGCATCACATTCCGCGACACTCCCGTACCGCAGGGAATTTCACAACACTTATGTAGAGATCGTTCCTGTACCCGCGCGATGTCTTTGTTCGGACTACCTTTCTATGGAATCATCTGCGTCACACTACATCAGGTAATTTCGATGCATTCATATCCGCTCTTCCTCACGTCTTCCCTCAATAGCAGAGGTTGGTATCATCCGTCCTTTTCCACGAGGGCGCAGATTCCCTATCGATCAGCAGCGGTTACATCCGTTATTTTCCTTCCAGGCGAACCAAGCTTCCTTGATCCTGGTTTTCAACAATAGGTTCCAAGAGCAACGCTATCATAACTGGTTAGTCTGCCAACAAGAGCGCGAAATTTATCCCAATGGCCACTAGACGTACAGCAAGGTCGCGACCGTCACGTCAGATTATCTCGTGACGAAAATTAGTCGTACTGCTGCCTTGAGCTGCTTCTGCTGCGTCAGATGATATGTCTGTGTTGACTTTCTTCGTCTCGCTCCCACGCAAAACGCACAGGGTAGTTGGCACGGCTAACACAAGACCTCCACCTTCTCCACCAACTTCTGTCCCTATGAGACCGACATTATAGATGTCGTTGCGCAAGCGCTACTTCCACTGTCTCCGGATCAGTCACAGGGTGTTCGAGCAGAGCTCTACAAGTTAAATGTGCGCGCCTTCTTACTTCCTCCTATCCCAACCATCAAGACATACTGAAAGCTAACTCAGGTATACGGAGCACCGTCAGGTCTGTTTAAGCCACACGTCGATACGCCACGCTCCGAGATGCAATTCAGCTCACTCGTCGTCTGTCTGCCGTGCGCTCACAAAGGAGGCCAGCTCGTTGTCCGCCACAAAGGCCATACCACTACGTTCGATTAGTCCGGCAACGCCAACATTACATAGTGGGCAGCAATCTACAGCGACTGCGAGCATAAGGTCCTCGAAGTTACCGCGGGTCACCGCATAACCCTTACATACAACCTCTTCGTGCGCCGAGGTCTTGGCGAGCTTCAACCCACCGGACTCGCTCGGCGCATGGACTGCGGCTTCTTTATAGCAAGGTAACGAAGCAGCGCCGAACGTTCTACGAAAGTTTAGAACTTGGATGGAAGATCTTCGCCAAAGGTCGAGCCAGTAGGACATGTTGTCAAAGTCGTTTTGGCTCCAAGAGTTCTTGTTGAGTTGGACTGGTGCGCCTAATCTTGCAGCGCTCCAGCCATCCTTCAGATATCTTATGCCACATCTGTCTCACGACATCAAAATTCTCCTTCTACATCCTCATGCTTTGCCAACTCCACGTGATGACCGAGACGTCCTGAACAATGTGATTGTCAAACAATGCATGTTCAGTCACACTGTCATTCCTTTCACTCTTACTTTGTCTAAACGCACGGACGCCATTGTTCACAATATTACATCACTTCCACTCTCGCGGTACTAGTGTGTAATGCAGCGCGCGGCACTCGTAGTAGTCGATACCTTACCGCAGCCAGCGTACGCTCAACCCGCTTGCGCTCCACTCCAGGTGATCTTACCCGCGCAACACCATCGCCCGCAGCCCGAAAGCACTGGAAAAGGCTCCCTACATTCCTTGGAATCTCTTGTATAATCGCCCGCTTTATTGCGTATACCTAGTTGTCTTGAACCGAAGTCATCGCTTAGGTCTTGAACGCTGAACCATACTATTGTTTATACTACTGTCATTAATATATGTAAGTCAGAACTTGCGCCGGTGATGTGAAGCACCCCTGACAGCACTTAGTCGCACTCTCACTGCGAACCGCGAATATGGCTTCTCGTAAGGATGCTACCGGCGACGTCGCTTGCAAGAAGACCAAGGGCTTGAAGAATCACAAGAGGGCGCAGAAAGAGAAGGCGCTGGCGAAGCGCACCGCCGCCGCCGAGAAGACTACCGCGAACAAGGCCTCGTACGCGCCGGTCGCTACCATCGTTATCATCAAGACTGAACCTATGAAAGGAGACGTTATTGGAAATGCAGGACCGGCGCCCATGGTAAAGGATCCTGCGCAGGTCATCGTGGAGTCGTCCGATCTTTCTCGAGACGAGTCGTCCAGTCAAGAGAAAGCCGTCACCAACATCGCGGCTCTTACTGGAACGCACACCATCACCGATACCAAGACCGCTACGCTGCAACCGCACCTCTGCACACATTTGCCCGTGGTTGTATTCGAAGACGTTCCTACTGGCTCCAAGAACAACACCTTAACCAAGGTAGCCAGCAACCCAACCAAACTCGGACAAGAGCCCGATAGTATATCTTATCCCAAGACCGCTCCTCCTCCAAAACTCATCACCACACAAGTCAGCCTACTCAAGACTGCTCCTTCCCCTCCAAAAACCAACACTACACAAACCAGCATGCTCAACCCCACCGCCCCAGCATTCCTCTTCGGAAAGACCATAGTCGCCCAAACCCCACCCGTCGAAATCACCCCCACAAAAGAAGACACCGCCCCAGGATGGCTTACCGAAAACGCAAAAGCGTTTGAAAAGGCATATGGTGTTGCCGCCCTCCGCAAGGCTCTAGAAGCAGCGCTGTACGAAAATATGGAGACGCCGCGCCAGAGGCTGATTCGCTGCAAGTACAGGGTTTTTGTTGACGCCGAGTTCCATCGGGAGGAGCCGGTGCATGACTTGGAGTGGACGCCGGCTCTTATTGGCAAGCCAGTTCGCAAGTGTTTCGATGACAACGGTTTTGTGATCACGCCGATTAAGACGGGCTTGACTGAAGCTGATTTGACGGTTCCATCAGCTCTCGATGAACTGTTTACGAAAGTCAAAGCCCAAGGCATTTCCAAAATCAGCGCTCCTATCTCCACGGGTTACAAATCCCCCAACCCCGGTGCTGGATCAACAAAGCCGCCAATTCCTTCTCGCACCCTAGCGTCCGTCGAGCATGAAATGCGTCTCGCCAAACGCCCTTCCCACGCACCCTCGTTCGCGGACCCCGGTATCGTCAAGTACACCTTCGCCGGCCAGGATTTCGACAACGTCGGCAACCCGCTCACAGAAACCGTGAGCCAAAAGGTACTCGGCTGGCTTGAAGACCAGCCAACGGATCCACCGGAACTCTCACCGGGTTCTTCGCGGCAGCAGAGCCGAGAGACTTCACCGCTTGAGCCTGGGAAGGGAATTGCGGCTTTGACGTTTTGTTCAAAGTCTGAGTCTGAGGGAGGGCGGGTTTGGCCTGCGCAGGAGAGCTTGCCTTGGGGGGATGGGCAAGATGGGTATACGCATGGGTCTGGTGTTCCGGTGTACCCGTATGTTGCTTCTGTCGTGAGGGTTTCTGATGACATTCCTGGTTCGTGCGGAGAACCAGAGTAGCTTTTGTGCGGAGTTTTGTTATCTGTTAATGCGTTTGTAATTTTATTGGCTGGATGGCCTTGTATATCATCTCTACGACTTAGCGACGGCGTTCATGGGCTGGGGGAATGTGTTACGGAGCTGGGGGTTTTCATGTTGTGGTCTACTTCAGTGGTAGCAAGATTAGCAGAATAATAATAATGCCTGGAGTCTACATTGCCTTCGTATCTGGTATGACATTGTTCGAGGGCTTGATGTAGGCTGCAAGACACCTGTTCAATGCTGCCGTGTATGAGCTGTACACATGGGTTTCGAGGAGTCATTGCCTTGAATTTACGTGCACAGAGGATTATGTAAGAAGCAGCGAGTACGCTTTGGAGTAGCTGTCACAGAACCATGGACGTGGGGGAAGGACCCATCGGGTCTAGACTGCAGGTGCGGGGAGGTGTTGCCGCACGGACTTGGGTGCCAGGGTTCCTGCAAGTAATTCGGCCAGCCGCAACGACCAAAGACTCCTCACATCGCTACCCAACATCGCTAAATAACGTCCAACTCCATACTTCGTTCTAGATACTATTTCTAGCACTACTCGTTATTAGTCATCATGCTCAAGTCAAGATGGGCTACCCAGCCTGGCGAGGCGGAGCAGTCAGCGCCCGAGGTCACCGTCGCTCAACCAGAAGCAGCGCCAGCACAGGTATGTTGACTTATGCACTCTTTGCCCCTGGCCTCTCTCCTACTGTTGGATTAGGCATCTGCTTCATATACAAGACTAACCCCCGCCAGATCGACAACACGTCCTACGACCCCGCCTTCGACGATCCGTCAATAGATCCATTCGCTCAGACGGCAAGCACAGACGACCTTTTCTTCGACGACGACATCACGCCTATCGCCGAGCCAGTCGTCGAGCAGAACCCCATCGAGCTGCAAGCTTCCGCCCCCGAGTTCGTTCCCGAGGAAGTACAACTGCCGACCGCACCGCAGGCACACCTCGCACCGCATGCGCCTCGTGAGCCAAGAAACGCCGATAGAGGAGGTCGCGGCCGAGGTCGGGGAAGGGGCCGTGGACGAGGTCGCGGCGGGCACAACACCGACATCCGACTAGAGGAAAACGGCAAGAAGGCACCTGAGGCTCCAAAGGAAGCTGCGCCGACCGCGACTGCCACTACCGATATCGCAGACAACTCAGCCCCGCCTTCTGCACCCACCGAGCCCAAGGAGAAGACCACACACGCCGTGCGCGGAGACAGAGGCCTGACTGGCGGCCCTGCACGCACGCGCCTGACAGAAGAGGAGCTGAACACGAAGCTAGCCAACATGCGCATTAAGAACGAAGCCCGTCAGAGCGCCCATGCTCGCGCCGAGGCCGACAAGGGCAATTTCGAGGCACGCGAAGCCGTCATGCAGAAGCAGGATATAGAGCGGAAGAAGGCTCTCGCGGAGAAGCAGAAGGCAGAGCGCCAGAGTCGCCAACAGATGATGGGCGAACGCGAGAAGAACCGCCAGCGCAAGCTCAACGCGCAAGGGGGCAGGGAGTGGGACTTTGAGAAAGAAGATGGCTTCTCTGGCACTGGAGACGAGAAGCGACGAGGCGCTGTACGTGGCGCGCATGGTGGCATCGCACCCTCGAGACCGGTCGACAACGGACACAACGGAGGCGAAGACTACCATGAGCCTGCGGGACAGTCTAGCCGCGGACGAGGCAGAGGTAGAGGCCGTGGCAGCAGGGGTGGCCGTGGCGATTACCGAGGATCCGATGAGAGGCCGGCAAACACTCGGGAAAAGCGCGACAACGTCCCGCCTTCAGCATCAGACTTCCCTGAACTACCCTCAGCCAAGGGCAAGGCACCTGCAGAGGAGAAAGTGAAGGAGAAGGTGAAGGACACAGACGATTTCGGCCTGCCATCGCCCATGGAGAAGGGACGCAGCTGGGCTGACGAGGTCGGCTCGTAGGAAGAGCAAGAGCAGGAAGAAGCGCAAAGCTGGGTGACCCGATTACAAGAGCGACATCGGAGACAGCATGTCGCAAGCCTGTGGCTGAAGCGTCCGGTCGAATACACTCACAACACGCGGCCAGGTTCGCATCCCGCCTTTATGTCCGACGCTGAATTTGCGGCTCTGCCAGACTGGAAGGATGTGCAGTACAACAAAGCCTACAACACCGCGTATCGCCCGTCGCCTCTCAGCTCAATGTCGCCTCTCAGCTCGATTACTGATTAGTTGTCAGCAACGCATGCAGCAACGTCTCCGCCTGGCTTCGCGCCGACCCCACACTTCGTAGCATCCTTAGACAATTCATCGCAAGTCGAAAGTGGCCCTGCAACCGTCGTCGAAGCTTTCTCCTCAGCCACCCCGCATACACCGGGAGCATGTGTCAACCCATCGCACCCGCAAGGAGCATATGTCAGTCCATCGCAATTGAACAGTGGTCAAACAACGCTCGTTGAACATTCGCCTGCGGCTCCAGTTGTTCCCCCCGTGGTTTCACGACTCAGATCAACACTGCAACAGCTTCGCCTTCTATCTTCAGCGTCGGCTGTGGTATTGAGGGACCAACGGAGATATGCTGAAGTTGTTGAAGTCGAAGGCCCGATAAGCCAGTCAGGCTCAATCGATTATGACATCTGCAGCTGTTCCGAGAGCGAGTCCGACGACCTTCACTTTGGAGATGGCCTTCCCCCACGAAACCCTACGCTGTCTACCATAGCGAGAACCCGAGACGGTCAAAGTCGCGCATGGATAGTCACACCAGGTCGCCTGCCAGCATCAGAAACTGCACGAGCGTATTTCAGCCACAGAGGCATCGCTCCTCAATACTCTCACTACGTCCAAACAGAGCCCTCTCGAGACGACATGATATTCATGCGTGGTGGAGCTGACTCAGAAGATCAGCTAGGCGCCCACAATGGCTCATCCCATACACTTCTCGATCCGAATGAGCGTCCCAGGAGCCTACATGAGTCCTCAGCCTCATCGCTCGCGCCCCCAGATCGCACTGAAGGCCGCAAGTCTGGTGATTCGAGGTTCACCGAGCTCATGAACGAGGATGGTAGTCGTCTGTATGCTGAAAGTTTGCGTCGTTCTGGGAGTCAAGAGTTGAGGGAAACTGAGGAAGTACCTACACCTTCACCTTCGCTAGCGCCAACAGCACCGCCAACTCCTTCGAATCGCACAGCACAGCCCGTCCCTGCGGCGCACCAAATCACTCGTTTACCACCATTGTCGTCTCAGCGCCCGGCTAATCTGGCTGTTCCTCATGTACCGGCGCGTGCACGTGATCCGAATGCAAAGAGATGGTATGTAGGCTGCGACCCTGACGGCTGTTGTTATCTATGTGATGTGGATACTGAATGTAGCTGTTCGGAGGCTCTCGTTACTACTTGCTTGGGGTTCTGCCCTATGCAGTGATGGAATTTGGGGGTTTAGTAGTGAATAATATATGAGTCTGGCGGCTACGTTGCTGTGTTCGATGTAAATGTGAAGAAGTTGATGTGCATGTAGATATCAGGGGGTAGTGTGTATAAGTCAATGTGATGGGAGCTGGGAGGCGACGTTGCAGCGCTTGGTAGGTATATGAAAAGGATTGATACAACGTATCCGCCACGCTACACCTTACCGGATACATCCACACATGAGCTCGACGACGACGTTACAGTATTTGGCCTTCATACGACGTGGAATCCTACAACGTATCCGCCACAGTACACCTTACTAGATACATTCACACATAAGCTACATACCGACATTGTAGTATATGATACACATACCGTATAAAACCATCTAACGTATCCGATACACCCTATCCTACCGGATACACACGTACACCCGCTAGATTACGACCTTATCGCAGCTAGCGCATAAACCTCGCGAAATTACACAACGTACACGCCACGCGTAACTCCACCGCACCTGTCCGTACATAAGCCCGACGGTAACATCGTCGTGTTACGCATGCACATGACGGTTATATCGCACGGGTATCCGTCCGGCTTTGAGAGAAACTAGAGGTATAGTGGTATAGTTAGGCATCTACACGTGAATACGTGAAGGAGATAGAAGCGATACGGAAACGTGGTAGCGTTTCGCCTTATGTTTGAGATTGAAATTGATAATTGCATGTGTATTCGCTGGGTTCTGGGACATCTAGTAATGCGAACTAGAACTAACATCTTGTTGTTACAAGTTAGCTACTACTCTGTTTATCTAAACATCTTCTCCCCAAACATGAATTAGATGTAAGCTAGACACCGATAGTGCAGCGTTTTACCTTGCATTCTATTTGGAATAGCACGACGTAGATACTAGACTCTGGTATATATCCCGCTGTTAACGTTCCATTCAGAAAAATAACCCAGCCTATCTACATCAAGGTATCTAACAGCAATGCGTTTGACAAAAAGAGTATGAAACAGAGAAATGTACTACGTGGACAGACTACGACAGTAGTAGCTAGAACACGTATGCTTTAACATTCCGATCAAGCACGCATTAGGGGTGGCGTAGGCAAGCTACAAACGGCAGATATGCATCCACATTGAATTCGACATTGAAGTCTTACATTTGCACAATATATGATCAAATTAATCCCATAGCGTAATGCATACCAGCCCACATTCCAGAGCCAGAAACGGAGAGACAAACTACATCATCACCCCTCCCTCTCCTCATCTCTCAATCGCCATCCCTCTCCTTCATTCCTCCGCCACCCTCATCGGGCAAAGCCAAACCCACCGGAAAACGCCATCCATGCATCCCAAACCTCAATTATCCCAAACCCACATCTTTAAAACATACTACACCAATGCTTCCCCAAGAAACCATGATACGCCTAGTCATCACTATCATACTCGTCGTCCTCAGCGAGTAGCGCAGGGTACTGGCGTCTTCTAAGGTCCTGTTCAAGCCCGCCATCGCTTTCAGGATCGACGTAGCCACCACCACCTACAAGCGACAGAAGAACCGGGAGGAGAACAAGAGCATGTGTTGAAGCCCAAAGAACGAGGGCGACCCAGACGCGGAAGTAGTATATCTCGAAGATCTGGGAGGTCTCGTTAGTAAGGAGGAACGGAAGGGGAAAGTGGGGATTTTGATATGACATACCTTACTCCTCGTGAAAGCCAAGACACCCACGCCGAGGATCTTGGTGATGGTGATGCCGCTGATGACGCTGCTTGCAACGTTGACCATGGCGGTCCAGGCGCGGGCGTCACGGCCGCGGAAGCGGTGTCTTGGTGCCTTCTCCATGGTAGCGCGGCTGGGGAAGGTGAAAGCACGGGCGATGTGTGCGGTAAACTCGACGCTGATGCCGACGCAGATGATGAGGTTGACGAGCGAAACGGCGTTGAGGGAGACGCCGAGGACAGCCATGGAGCCGATGATGGCAGAGACTGTCATGCCGACTACAAGGGTGACGACGAGACCCGTGGCTAGGGAGCCGAGCATTATGGTGGTGATGACGAGGACGGCGGCGAGGGCGGAGCCGATGAGGGCGCCGGCTAGACGGACGATGGTCGTGTATTGGTCGAAGAAGATGTAGAACTTGGAGTAGGGGAAGACTTCCGTGTCGACGTCCTTGGAGATCTCTTTCGAAATGCGACGTGCGGCGGTGTAAGCAGAGATGAAGTCGCTCTGCGAGCGGAGAGGCGTGTGCGAAGTGCGGAAGTGCGATGCGGGGATGGTGAGGTGCTTCGAGTCAATGACTAGAGCGTCAGAGTAAGCAGCCTTTCCTCCTAGCGGGCAGTCTTCTGTAGTCGGTGCGTCGATCCAGAGTTGAAGATAGTGGATGAACTCCTCGCCTTCGGGCATGCCCGACAAGGTCATGTTCCAAGGTGGTTGACGACCCTGAAAACACGGCTTGCCTTTGTCGTCGACGCAGCACTTCTCGTTCTCGGGGTTAAGCCATAGGAAGAAGTCATCAAGCCAGTTGGCGGCTGAAGCTGCGAGATGAGAGACCTCAGGTCGCTTCCGCTCCGCTTCGATGATGTTGGCCAAGCTCTCTCGGTCGCAGGTGGAGAAGCGTCCACAAAGCTCCTTTTGAGGCTTCCGTTCGGTAACGTTCAGCTCCTTGGTTACAAAGTAGACTGGTGGGCCGACATCTAGGTAGTCGTAAAGATCGTTGAAGTAAGGTATGAGATAAGAATCGCTGGGGATAGCAATGCGTTGATCAAGGCCTAGCTCCACACTTGGGAACAGGGCGAGACCAGCCGTGAAGATTCCAAAAAATAGCGCAATGATGCCGACCTTCGTCTTCTTTCCCAATATCGCCGGAGCATAGGTCTTGCGGATGAATCGCTGAAGTGCGCCTTCCTCGCCAGCGCCGTATCCCATGCCGCCGTTTAGGTATCCGGGATCAGCACGACCGACACGAACACACGGGAAGCAGTCAGCTCGGTTGTTCTCCACACGTTGCTGATTCAGAGCTAGAACAGCAATGAACATGGTGACTTGGAGGATAGCGTTGATGAAGACAGCGCCTGCAGCGTACGCGGCGAAGTTTCGTACGGCAGGCATCCCTACGGCACACCCAAGAGCGAATGCGGTGGTCTCTGTGAGCGCAGAGAGTAGAATAGAAGGGCCCATGCGTCCAAGTGCACGTGATACACGTTCTGGGATGCTGCCTTCGGGGTGGCTGATGTTGATGCGCTCAAACTCGTGGACAATGAGGAAGATGTTGTCAACACCAACAGCCAGAACAAGGAAAGGAATGACCTCTGCGATGATCAAGGTGACTTTGATACCGGCTGCCGAGAACAATCCGACCGATGCAGACACAGACATGAGGACAATCAAGATACCGACAGTACCAAGCATGAACTTGGACTGCACAAACGCGTTCGCGGGGTTGCGAAGAACGGACTTTACGGTGAGCGTGGTAGAGCCCAGAGCCAGGGATGCGTACAGGAACATGATGATGTAGCTGATGACCACGATCTTGGCATCCGTGTTGGTGCTCT